GAGAGTAGTAGCCACCTGGTGCCCAAGACCCCTCTGGAACATTATGGCTTATATTTATAGCCAGTTCATTAGGTGAGGCCAAAGGGGTGGACTGCTGGCACCGGCCAGGGGTTCAGAGGACTTGTGTGCTCAGAGTCAATCTGCTTGGCAGTTTTGGGGCGTGGCCAGCTGGCTGCTCAGTGGGGCCTTCAGAAGGTGTGCAGAGGAGGAAATGGGAGGAACAGTGACCCAGTGTCTGCTTCCAGAGTTTCCCCACATGCATCACTCAGCATCTCAGAGGATGCTTCCAAACCCAAGAAGTTTGTTGCTTAAACAGAGGGAAAAGATGAGCAGCAAACATTTTTTAAACATCTAGAAATACAAATGGATGACATCAGCCCAAACGAAGCCAGCTGTAGGCTGCACCAGAGCTTTAGGGAACTGCTGAGTCACTCCCTAAGCCTGCCTCCATCTTCAATCAATCAGCCATCCGGGTTCATGAGCTCTCTAACCTGGAGCCAAGGAACGAGTTGTTTTTCAATAGAACTGAACAATCTGAGCCCTAATGGCTGGTTTCTGTTGTAAAGCATCCGATCAGCAGGGCCGTCAATCAGAAACGTCCATTTCTGTGTTTTTCAAATCTGTGAATGTTAATTTCACTGAGTTTGTGTTGGAAGATGGCTCCCTCTTCCAGTCCTGATTTTACTTTTATATAAAGTTGCCTCCCTAGCCTAGAGTCTGGGGTCTCCCCACCCCAAACCCCCGGAGTCTAGTCTCTGAGATGAAAGGTTTAGCCATCTGCTTTCCAACCAGGAAGCAAAAGCAGACATCGTAAGTCAGCATGTTGCCCAGCCTCCCAGAATCAGGCCTCCCCATGGTCCTCTGGCTCCCCTTTCTGGCATCAGGGCCCCATCAGACATCCACAAGCTGAAGGTGACAGACATACTGCCGGAGGGTCAAGCAGGCCAGACACCCTGCTGGCTAGCACTGCAGTCTGCCCGCTGGGGGTCACTGACCCATCAGCCGTGCCCTTGCCTGGCTCCCTGCCCCAGACCCACTGCCCGCTCTGTCTGTGAAGCTCTTCCTAATCTCGTGTTGTGTGTAGGCTTCCTAGGCTACGGGCCTGGCCTGAGCACCCAAGCTTTGCTCAGAACTTGCATTCTGAGCCGAGCCCTCCCTAACAGCCCTGCCAGCAGCCACCCAAGACCCACCCCATGCTTCCCTCATGTTCTCATCCACATCCTCTCCCAATCCCCAGCAATCTTCCACGCGGCTGTCTCTCTGCCTTCCCCGCTCCTGCTGCTCCTCCATCCTCCACTCTAAACACACTTGTTACCAAGGAGTAGAAAAAACAATAACAATCAGAACAAAACCCCAGACTGCAAAGCAGCATATTATTCATGCTTCTTTTCAATACATTTACTTCGTTTTAATGTCAAGGTTCACATAGATATTAATTTCACTTTCCAATGACTTTCTGGGAATATGTAACATGAAGGCTTTCACCCTATTAAGCACATGTTTATATTAAATTATATTGGGAAAATGACCATTTATAGGAGGTCCTAAGTCCATTCACATTGCTAACTGGCTTAACGTAATTTTGCTAAATCGTAATCTTTTGGTCAAAAGACATTTAATGCCTATAGAAGCCAGATTGCCACAACTATTGGCCACATTCAGAATTGTGCAGAGACCCCCAGCCTCAGTGGTGTTACCAAATTACACCTCTGGATTACCATCCTCGACTTGCAACACCTGGTGCAGGGGTTGTAAGCAAAAGTGACGGCAGTGGGAAGCGCGGGTGAATGTCGATTTTCCAAAGGTTCCTCTGACTCACACTCTTTCTGAGATTAGGCTGCTTTTTTTATTTCATACCTTAGAGACAGATAGAAACAAATCTTTCCCAACCAGGAGCTGGCTGATAAAGGAATACCCAAATTTTCTTAACCTATGGTTGAGGCCTCATGGAGATCACATGGGGAAAGTCTTGGCACATAGTGGATGCTCAGCCAATTGTGGCTGAGACGGTTATGACTAAGATTAGGATGATTTCGATGCCAACAAAAGAAAACAGGCGCTAATCCTCAGAGAGGGGAGGGGGTTGCTGACGCGTCCTCAGGGGTGAAGAGGAGAAGGTGCACCTCTAGGCAGGTTCACTTGGCATTGCTCCTCTACCCAAGCAATGGGCTGGCTATGCTAGTCGCTGGGCCACTGGGCAGGAAGCATCAAAGTGACTGGGCTAAGGGGCAGCTTGCAGGTCCCACCCACTGGCCCAGTTCCTGGATTTGATGGATGTAGGAGATGCTCCACATTCCTGCCTCTCCACAGAACGGGAAAGAGGACTCACACGCAGATACGGACATGTGTCCCAACACTCTGCCCTTACTCTGCCCTTTCCAAAGAGCCTCACTCACAGCCACCCCGACATCAGCCAGGCACACTATTGTCACCAATCCCCAGGACGCGAAGGGATTTGGCCAAAGTCGCACAGCTCTTAGGAGGGCGAGATTCACACTCAGAATCCCAGGTTCCTTTCACAGTGCAGCATAGAAAGAGGTTGCCTTTAAAATTGGGTTATTCTTGCTCTTTGATGAATGTTTTTTGCAGACCGAGGATCAGATTGACTCAGTTCAAGCAGTGGGAATAATGACAGAGTCATCTTTTGGCCGTTCAGAAAGCAGCTGGAGGCCCATCTGCTTCTGGCCACCAGTTCGGGATGAGAGCCCAGGAAATCCGGAGAGGAGGAACCAGAGTTCCAAGAAGCAAAGTGGAGACAGAGAGGTCTGGCGACAGCACAGACCTGCTGCAGTAGGGAGCTTTGGCAATGACCCAAGTGCTTGGCCGTTCAGCAGAAGTGAATGGAAAAATCTGGAAATCCTTTTAGATGAGTAGTATTCATCGAGGACCTCTCTGGGCTCGGACGTATGGTGGGCACTGGGGTTACCTGAGGCCCTCATCCAGAAACGTGGATAGTGGATGGCATCAGAATGAAGGTGTGGGGAAGCACGTGTGCAGTAGGGGCTCGAAGAGTGGGGGTGGGGGAGATGACAGCCATATGACTACAACCACCACTAACAATACCTAAAAAGAAAAAGACTAAAATTTAAATCCACAAGGTCATGTCATGACTGTACCCATTTTACAGATGAGGAAAAGCCTGCCTGAGGTCCCAAAGCTGGGACCTGGAGGACCCAAGATTCAAATCCATACAGTCTGGCTCAGGGACCCATCATTTGCCTCTACAGTGAGCCCAGATCCCAGCAATGTCTTAGGGAATGGCTGAGAATTCGGAAAACATGGACCCTCTCTCCACAGACCCTCTGTTCCTACTGGCCCCATATCCCCAAGCCAAAGGTTACTTGAAGCTCCAGAGCCCAAGGGGCTTGAGCTTGGAGCCCAACCTTGCCCCCGCATGGTCTGGCGCTGTTTCTGCTGGCAGACAGGTCTCCCCCTGAAGTCTCCATCAGTTTCCCCCTACACCCAGAAATGGAGAGAAGGCACAAGGCTCACCACAGCCCCCTGGAGGGCTGTCAGCTCTGCCTTAGCCTCCTCAGATCTCCATGAGGGGCAAATGGAGCCCACCACCCCCCACCTTCCCCTTTCTGTCTCCCCTGCCAGCTCCCCTATGTCATGCCATCCATCTCAAGGTACAGACTCCTCAGCTGTGCATCTCCAAAGGAGCAGTGCACAGCTTGCCTGTAGCCACTGATCCCCGCATGTTATTCTTTGCCTTTATCTTGTTAGCATAATGTGCAGCTTCATTAACCAGCCAGATGAATCATTTAGTAATTGGAGCTAATGAATTTAATTTTCCACTTTCTATTTTTTATAATAAAACAAAGTTATAATTTGCCAATAGGTCAAGGAAGGCTCCAAGTTGCTGTTTTGAGTCAACGTTAGGCCAAGAGGACAAAATGGCAGACGGGTGGAGTTTGTCACTCTCTCTGAACCCGCCACTGTTTTTGGAGTTTCTCAGGTACTAAACCCAGTTGGATCATTTCCCCACTTCTACAGAGAATGAAACTAAAGGACAGAACAAGAATATGTTTTTATTTTTACTGTATGATATTACCATGATGGTAATTCCTGATAGGTCCATTTGAAGAATGGGAGTAGCTCGTAGAAAATAAACAATGTACACAGTTAACAAGGAAACTCCATGGAACCAATTAGATGAAGAACTAGAAGAGAATCAATTTGTCTTGGAAAGATTTTCTCCCAAGAACCCTACTCCCTGCAGTCAATTGACCTGGACGGATACCTCCGTTCTCACTACCCTCTTGCTAAAAAATGTGGGACCCAGCGAGGAGCCAGTACTTGACCATCAACGTAGGACAGAAGGCTGATTAGAGGCTCCCACTGGCCTTACCCTATAGCTGAATTGCCCTGGTGGAAGGTTCCTTGTGACTTGACTACCCTGGGCCTCATCCCTGACTCACGAAGCCTTGGCTGCAAACTAAGATGCGGTTAATTTATTGTAAGTTTTATTAGGCATATAAAAGGGAAGCAGGAGTGACTAGCCTTTCGTTGCTGGAGATAGATTTCATCCATGACTCAGAGCAGATTCCTCGCAGATTAAGCTTGTTAATTTCCCTCCCCGCCAACATTCTTCTCTGCAAGGCTGAAGCCAAAGCCACAGGCTCTCGGCGGAAATGGATGGGATGAAAAGGGCTGCCTCCCCTCCCCCCCCCCCACTCCCAGACAACAGTTGCATTAACCACTTTGTCCTTTTAATTCACCTAATTACATGCAAGGAGAAAGCTGCTGCCTCGGAGGCTCCGCTCCTCCCTCTGGAGCCGATGCCACTGGGCCATTGCTTTGGGCTTTTTGTTGTCTTATTAGGGATGCTTTTGTTCACAGAGATGGTTAAAGCCATTTTCAGCAGCCAGCGAGATGAAGCAGTTTCAATAAGGGTACAATGTACTTGTTTAAATTACCTTTCAAAATGCTCAAAACCATTAAGGGGGAGGTGCTGCAAATAAAAGTTGGATTTTTTGTTATAATGTTTTACCCTAATAACAGCTTTTATTTTATTATAATCCATTAGTTGACAATATTATTCTATAGATTATTAGGCAGCAATTTTGTTATTTTATCACACTTTCAGCACTCACTCACCGGGCCAGGATCCACAAATCTCAGTATAATATGCTTTCAATTTTGTTAAAATCTCTATTTAACTGGTTTGGCTGCAGAACATCTTGGCAAATGTGTTTTTAATTTTGTTCTAATTAACTTGACAGTTGACAGAACTCGACAGTGGCGTGATGGCGTCCCCTTTTTCCAGGGTCCCTGCAGCTCCATTCCTGGGGTCCATTTTTTCTCTCCAGTCCTAACAAGAAAGATGTCAGAGGTAACACCCAGGAAAAGAGGCTTTCGTCTCTGTCAAAAGTACATGCAATTTTTTAAAAACCAATTAAAAGAATCTGGCTTTCCTCTTTATCCGTAAAAAGAAGGTCATTGGTTCTGTGGGGTTTTCAAAAGTGACTGTTCCTACAGATGTGGCTCATAAGAGATGCAATGAAGGCAAAGCAAGTGGCACGGGAGGATTTTTGTAGCACATATAGAAAGCCAGCCCTTTCCCAAAGAGATGCTATGAAAGAGGAGCCATGTTCCTTCTATTTCACCCCTGCTAGAGGAGGAAACAGCCTTCAGTTCTCTGCTTTTGGGGGTCAGCCCTGGGGATAGCAGCTTTAAGGGAACTTACTCTTGCTCTTTAAACAATTCCAAACTCTCTCTCTCTCATCCGGGGAATTTTGCTCTGGCCACCACCTCCAGGTGCCATCTGCTTCCTTGCTCCCAGAATCCTGAGCTAGCATCTCAGAACCCAGCTCTTCCTTGACTCCAAGCAGCACCTAGACCACAAAGCAACAACTAGGTTTCTTTTGTCTTGCTGAAGAATAATGCCTTCCTGACATGGAGGTAAAGCGAACTTCTATAAAACGAATCCAATCTTCCCTACGACTTTCCTTATACCAAAAGACTTGGGCACCCAGGAGTCTTCATGGAAACTTTTGGTGATTCGAGGCTAGGTTCTTGAGTGAATATTCACAATTTGCAGTGATTTTGGGGTGCCAGCTTCTCCCCTCAGTTAGCTGCATCTTCCTTATGCTCTTGTGTGCTCTCTCTCTGCTTCCCTCCCTTTCTCAGATGTTACGAATTTTGCTCATAACTGGAAGTTCCCTGATTCCACATTTGTACTGCTCATCATGCTTCTTTTCAATTATGAAGGATGTCAGTCCTACCAGGACCCTGAGAGATGAACCACTACAACTCCGTCCTCGCATCAATGACAAAAACTCATCACTCACCATCATACTAGCCAGCAAGGAGCAGGCTGAGATGGCACATAGGTCTTCTGACATCAAGTCCATGCTCATTCCCGAAAATTTCCTTGGAGAAGGTCTTAGGATCTGTCCAAAAAAATCAATATGGTCTTTTTTCTAGGCTTTAAATCTGAATTTTGAGTTTTCATTCTTATTTAAAACAAGAGTGTTGTTGCACAATTGTTTGGCATAGGCCATGAGACTAAAACAAAGCATTTGGTGTGCGTGTTTTAAAATGGTACCATGTTTCAAATAGACAAAGCATAAATGCCTTCACCAGTGATTTTCCAGCGGAGCAATTTTCTTCCCCAGAGGACATTTGACAATGCCTGGGGACATTTTCAGTTGTCACAACCAGGGATGTGCTACTGGCATTTAGTGGGTTGAGGCTGGGGTGCTGCTAATCTTTCTACACTGTGCGGGACAGCCCCTATTCCACCCCCCACCACAAAGAACCAACCAGTCCAAACTGTCAGTCTTGCTGAGGTGGACAAACCCTGTCTCACCTTCCCCTCAGGGACAGGAAAAAAGGACTAACTTGCAGGGAGGATGGGCTGGGCCAAGTCACCCAGGCCCCAGGGTCACGATGACAGCAGGACTGGAACCAATCTTATGCTGACATCATTCATTCTTTTTTGTCCTGCCTGGAGAGCAATCTACTTTGTACCCACATTCCCCACCTCGGCTACAGAACTTTCATGACTGCATCCATTCCCTCTGGCCTGCTTCCTCTTCTACTCGATGGAGGTAAATCGGGGTTATGGTGAGACAACCTACGTAAAGCACCTCTCCGGCGCCAAGCCCGCTGTATGCACTCCCCGCACTGGAGCCACAATGATCTGATGATCACAAAGCTGCCGCCTAGCACTTTGGCCCAGGTAGGGGTGGCGAGGGTGTGAGTCTCGTGATCCAGCAGCTTTTTTTCTGAACAGCAAGAATATGTCCACTCAAATTCTTTAAGAATCTCATCCAGTTGCCCCAGTATGGGAAGAAGTTGGCAGACCGATGAGAATTTAGTGGGGAGAGGTGGCGGAGGGACATGAGCAGACGAGTCAGGAAAAGATGATGCCGTTCATGCAGATGTGTGTGCCAACTCCCTGCTCCCAGATTCCCCCAACTCAAACAGGCATCAGCAAGCTTTCAGAAGAACCGGCTCATGAACACAGGGCGAGATTTCTGCTTCCAGCCGCCTGCGTCCAGCCTGCAGCTGTGAGCAGTGACTCTGCAGAGCTGGGCAGAGGGCACGTTCGGAAACACGAGTTCATGCTTCCCTACCAAGGCCGCCTGGTGAACCTTGTCGCCAGGTGTGAGAACCACCGACGACGTCTGAAACCATGTTTTCTGATCAGAATACTAATTTGCACCATTAAATATCCGGCAGGCTATTAAATTGCTCAGTTCCCAATACTCCCCCCGTCCCATTTTATTTGCATTACACCTATGTATTCTCTGCAGGGTGGGGGTGTATGTGCAAGACCAATTTCAGAACTACGTTTCATTTTAAAAAAAATACATCTTTCTCAAATTAATGCCAAAGAGAAATAAAATGTTCTTCCGACACTTCGTCTCTGAAACTGCTCTCTGGCTCGTGACCATCTGTCAAGAATATATATTCTCCAAATTGCCCAGATTTTAACATCCAGCTTAGTTAAGCCACTCAAGTTTAACTAACACGCTGCTCCTTAAGGCAACACCACCAGCATAAGAGGAGTCTGAGTTCTTCACGAAGGTGTCCCATTTCTTCTGGAAGGTCACGCAGTCCCGGGCGTTTCCTGTCCCAGCGTGGCCTCACAAGGTGGAGCCTCACACACCGCCATGGCCAGTAAACAGTCCTTTAGATACCTTCTCCATTGGGCCTCCACTTTACCAGCCAAAATTCAGTTTTGCTGGGGACATCATAGCAGGGCATGTGTTTGACCATTGAGCACCATGTGTGGCCATTAGAAAGAAAAGGAAAATCAATAGGGTTTCATTAAAACAGCGGGCAATCAGGGCCCAGCCCTGGCTTAATTACAGTTTCAGTAGCATTTGCTTTAATTGGAAAGAATAAAAGAAGTGAAGTGGAGTGAATGAAGAAATTAGCATATCTATCACTGTTGTCACATTGTACGGTGGCCTTAAAACACTGTTCGCTCTTTCGTATCTCTGAAGCGGTGCCGAACCCTGAAAAAAAAAAAAACCAGGAATGGCAAGTAACAAATCCTCAGACTATACCTTTGTGAAATTCTAATTAAAGTCTTTTATAATCTTTGCAAGGCATTTTTAAAAATAGGTTAGATATGCTAGATACACTTTGCAACGTCTGTTAATTATGCCAGCGTGGCTCCATGTAGGCAAGAACCACAGTCATCTTGTGCCAGGGACGTAAGGCGGCTCTGAGCTGGCTTCGGCAGCCCAGAGAAGACAGAGAGCCTGGTTCCTGCCTAAACGGTGGGTCCCAAGGGCAGCTTCTGCCAAATGGACTTCTTTCTGCTTGCTAGACTTCCAGCAGTCGCAGACACAGGAAATGTCAGAGCCCGAGGTCCTTAGGCACTGACTAGTCCAAGGCCGACCCACATTTTACAGATGGGGAAACTGAGGCCCATGGTCCCCCGAGTAGGATAGCGTAGAGCAAGGACTTTTTCCCAGCCCTGATTTTTGGAAAAGTCCAGTCTTGTATCTACTCTCTCATAATATTTCATCTGGTAGCATCTCAGGAAAACCTTTCCTTTTGAAAGAAAACATTGTCATAAGGGATTAAATTTCATTCACTAGGACTCAAACATTCTCTTTCATACCATGCAGCCCAGAAAATATTTTCACGTCTCACCTGGTGTGTTATGTTTAATACAGAGGCTCCTCCTTTGGGAATGGTTAACGGGTTAAAATGGGTCTATGACCATGAGATTGGGGAGGATGCGGCCAAGGAAAGGTTTTCAAGACCACATGCACTGTGGAAGGAACAGAGGAACTGGAGGCAGAGCCGACCATCTTTCTGGCTTGGATTCTGGAAAGAAATGTGAAATGCCTCATGACCCCATGAATCTCATGGAGGTAACAGAGATGGCTAATAATCAAAGCTTCCATTTTGTGACAGCCCATTTTGTACCGGGTCCTCACATGGAGAGTCTATTGTCCCCACTTTAAAGATGAAGAGACTGAGGCACAAGGAGGTTGTTACTTGCCCGTGGTCAAATGAGCCATGAGCTGGGGTGTGAACTCAAGATCATTTCCAAAGGGCTTCTTCCACCTGCTCCATGGCCCATCAAGGCAAAGGGCCAATTCCAGGGCAGAAAAAGAGAAGACCTGCGTGCCCCATGCGGTGAGTTCCTTCTCTTCTGGCAAACACCTGGCCTGGAGGGAGGGCCAGGCAGACTCGCTGGTGAGGCTTCAGGCCCAGGCTGGGTTCTTCTGAAAATTTACCCAGAGCAGGTGCTTCCTCTGAGACCACTAAGGACGGGCACTCTTCTTTGGTGACAAGCCCCCAGAACAGCAGCTCATTGTGCAGGCGAGGAGAAGGCACTGTGTGGCCAGGGTGCACGGCCACCTCGGAGGTCAGAGGGAAATGGCCGGGGGACAGTGGAGAGAGCTCCATGCAGAAAATTACAGAGAGGAAACGATTCATTGTCCCTTCACCAAGTGGCCATCGGGAAGTGCATGATTGGCTTCTCACTAGAGCGTGGCAGACCCCGTCCTGGGTCAATCCTCAGGCCTCAGGGCCAACCCCCTCTGCAGGCCAGAGGCTGTGGGGCACAGCAGGTCCCGAGAGCGGCAGGCACAAGCCGAGCACAGGAAGCGCTTTAACCCTCCATGCCCAGGGAGGGACGAGAGATGCGCTTCACACACAGGCATGTCCGAACCACCCAGATAAATGGGTGGTCAGGGGCCAGCTGGAGCAAGAGGCCTCCAGACACCGGGGCCTAGTTTGGGTTGGTGCATGGCTGGAGCGCCTGGAACTGCTCTCTGACTCATCTGCCTCCAGCATCAGACTCTTTCTGGGTTGTTTTGAGCTCTTGGTCCTGGCTGGGGGGCAGGCATATCACTGCCTCCAAAAACAGTTATGGGAGGAGCAAAAGGCATCATCCACTCTCCACAAATGACAAGAGGAACTCCCTCGGCTGAGAGGAGCTCCCACTGGCCTGGCTGCTGGGCATCCTGGTGAGGACCATGGGACGTAGGTCATGTGGGCCGCTGAGAGGTGTCCGATGTAGCCCAGCTCCCCGAAAGGACCCTGCAGCCTGCTCGAGGAGACAGAGGCCCACTCTCAGTTGTGTGCCGCAGGAGAAGGCAGAGGCTGGACACTTCCTGAGTGACTGCGACCCCCAGGCACACCCCATGCTCAGTCCCCTGTTGTCCTCACCACTCTTCGGGAGCAGAGAGAAGGCCTGGCCCCAGCTTTGCAACATCTGGAGCTGGAGCAAGCGCCCCTGCTCCAGGCCTGGGTTTTCTCATCTGTCTTCTAACCCATCCCTCCCCCATGACAACTTCTGCGTCTGCGACCTGAGGCATTAGTAGCCGCATCCCTTCAGTGATCAGCACTCAGACCAGGAGGACAGCAAATAGGAAAGAAAGAGGCAAACTCACTGCAGGGCACAGACAATCGATACAGGAGCCTGGGTGTGGCTGGGGCACTCAGAAACCCGGGCTCTGCCAACAGGGCCAGCGTCCCCATTCCCACAAGGGGCTGCTCGGAGCCAAGGGTGGGCACATGACAAACTTCCCAACAACCACGGTGGCTGCAGCAAATGGAGCCAACACTCTCTGAGCCCCTGATCTGTTCAGGGCCCTGTTCTAAGCCTCTCTGTGCACGACCTCCGTCCTGCGTAATGGGGCTGCCAAAGATGAGGGTGAAGAACTCGCCCTGAGAGCCACGGCTGGTAATTGGCTGAGCCAGATGCAGGCAGGCACACCCAGAGCTCTACTCTCAGTCCTGTTCCCTTAGTGTCCACACCGCCTCTTGTCCTGCCAGCCCACGCATGGCTTCAGCATCCTGGTGTGGGAATAAGTTGACGCCTTGGTGGGAAAAGTCAAAGGTCAAGGAATGATGGGAGCTCTACAAGACCAGAAATGCCCACAACGCTGCCTGCCCTTCGACCCCATGTTCAACT